CCATTATGTCAACAATATGAGCATTAACCAGCAGTGAAACAACTATGACATTGGTATGACATTGGTCTTACTGTCTCCCTAAAGCAGTAGGAGTAGTTCAAATGTTGAATAAAACTTTTTTTTTTTTTTTTTGAGATAGAGCCTCATTTGGTCACCCTCAGTGGGGTGTCATGGCATCTTAGCTCACAGCAACTTCGAATAATTTGGCTCAAAAAAAAAAAAAAATTCTTGGGCTCAAGTAATTCTCTTGCTTCAGCCTCCCTAGTAGCTGTGATGACAGGCGCCAACCACAGTGCCGCGCTCTTGCTCAGGTTGGTCTCAAACTTGTGAGCTCAGGTAATCCACCTGCCTCAGCCTCCCAAGTGCTGGGATTATAGGCATGAGCCACCACACCTGGTTTGAATAAAACTTTTCTTTTGGCAGCATTACTCTCTTCTATACCAGTTTTATAATATATAATTTCTCTTTGATTTTTTTTTTTTGAAAGAGTCTCATTCTGTTGCCTGCCCTAGGTAGAATGCCATGGCATCATAGCTTACAGCAACCTCAAACTCTTGGGCTCAAGAGATCCTCCTGCCTCAGCTTCCTGAGTAGCTGGGCCTATAGGCACCTGCCAGGATGCCCAGCTATTTTTTTCTTTTTTTAGTAGAGATGAGGTCTCACTGTTGCTCAGGCTGGTCTCCAACTCCTGAACTCAAGCAATCTACCTGCCTTGGCCTTTCAGAGTGTTAGGATTACAGGCGTGAGCTGCTGCACCAGTCCTTTCCTTTGATTTGTGAGAGATTTAACAAATAGCTGATTACCAGTGTGTTAAACTTGTGGAACTTTGAAACATAAAATTGAGCTGTAAGCATATTGCAGGAGTTCCCTCCCCCATACTCTCTACTTTATTAAGCACATGAGTGTAATGAGTAAATGAAATTAGTTCCTTATTTTGCTTGTTTTTATATTTCTCGAAATATCACTTGTTTACATACTTATGTTAAATTAATGATAGGTGTTGAGGTTCTCTTGAGTTCTTTTTTTTTCTCCCACCAGAGAAAATACTTTCTTTAGGTGGAAGTGTATGGAAAGGGTTGCCAAAATCTACAGAGCCTTTGTAAGCCAGGACATTTGATTGTGCAAAATACGTCAGAATTAGAATGATTTCGTTTCTCTGTTTTCTAGAGAGAAATAGAAAAATGAAGTGAGATTTAGTCTGAAAAGGGATAATTATTTTTTGGTCCTGAATATGTCATCATTATGTGAAATTATGACATTTATTTTTCTATTTTTGAGAGAGATTTTATTGTCTTATATAACTTTATTTTTTCATGAGATAACGAATCATGCTTTCTTTTTCTTTTTTTATTGTTCGGGATTCATTAAGGGTACAAGAAACCAGGTTACACTGATTGCATTTGTTAGGTAAAGTCCCTCTTATAATCGTGTCTTGCCCCCAAAAGGTGTGGCACACACCAAGACCTCGAAATTATGACATTTAAATACATTGAACTCTAAATCCTAAAATAATGGCAGGGTTCAGGTAGAATTTTATCACATTAGGAATGTGTCTTAGATACCTCAGAGACTCTCTGAGTTCTAAAAGACCTTAAAGATTGCCTGGTCCAATTTGATTCTTGCAGTTGTCTCTTCTAAAATATCTGTGACAGATGGCTCTTTAGACCTCTGTGAGTAATTTTGAGAGGCAGTGTGTTTACTTATTGGGCATCTCTAATTATTAAGATTCTTCTTTATGATAAAATGATTATTTTTTCCTTTGGGTAGACGTCTAGTAATGGGGTTGCAGGATCAAATGGGAGGTCTCATTTGAGTTCTTTGAGGATTCTCCATACTTTCTTCCAAAGAGGTTATATTAGTTTGCAGTCCCACCAACAGTGTAAAAGTGTTCCCTTCTCTCCACATCCATTCCAGGACTTTGGCAATGAACTGTTTATTGTGCTCAACTTGTAGTCACCAAAACGTAGAAACAACCTACATGTCCAGCAATGTAGGAATGGGTTAACAAGCTGTGGTGTATGTACACCATGGAATACTATTCAGCCATTAAAAAGATGGAGACTTCCCATCTTTTCTATTAACCTGGATGGAGCTGAAACACATTCTTCTTAGTAAAGTGTCACAAGAATGAAGAAGCAAGAATCCAATGTACTCACTTCTTATATGAAGCCAATAGACGATGTAATATATAACCACATAAGAGAAAAATTCAATTCAAGGTGGGAGATGGGGGAATGAGGGAGCCTGGAGAGGGAAAGGGGAGGGAGATGGAAAGTTACAGTGTATGACCCACCTCTTGGGGCAGGCCACAGTTATAAGAAGGACTTTGCCTAACAAATGCAAACAGTGTAACCTAATTCTTTGTACCCTCTATGAACCTGAAACAAACAAACAAAAGATTCTTCTTTATATGAGGGCTGTCTGGAAAGTATCCAGCCATGTACTATGAAAAATAGAGACATACCTGGCTGCCTGCCTTCCAAAAGCCCTTGTATTTAGTCCTTTAGTCCAAATCTACCTATGCAGCTTCTGGTTGTTCCTGGTCTCATTCTTTGGAGCAATGCAGAGTGAGTCTAATCCTTCCTGACATGTGAAGATGCAGCTCTTTCTTGGTCTCCTTGTCTTCAAGTTAATCCTCCTTTAATCACCTTCATGTTATAGTATGTGGTCAGTTGACCTCGCCAGGATACAGTTTATTAGGAGGCCCTCTTAAAATACATCTTTTTCAGAAGAATTCTACCATCGTACTGGGAAAATGTCTTAACATTATCAAAGACCTTTGGGAATTTTGATCTTTTCTGGCTATGGATTAATCATAACTACTATTTTTGTTCTGGAAGTTTATTTTCTATTTCTTTTAAATTCAATCTTTAATCATCTTTATAGTTTTTTTGTTCTTTGGTCCTTCCCCATGTAAGTAGTTTATTCTGAGTTTGTTTCATAGTTTCTAGAAGTTATAAGACTGAACTCAGCAGTCAGAAGGGTCCAGGTAGCTGTTTATTTTTTGCATATCAGTGTGGTTACTTTTCCTAAGTTATCATTTTGACATAGTTGTGACATAGTTGTTTCCCATTTCATGATATTTTTTTACTTAAAAATCTTATTGCTAAGAGCATTTTATAGTTCTTCAGCCACAAAACACAGACATTCTTCATTTCTTTTTGCCATAATGGGAAGTGTATCTCATTCATTTCTTCTAAATAAAACGATTCTTAAGTTTTCTTTTCTTTTTTTTTTTTTTTTTTGAGACAGAGCCTTAGTCACCCTGGGTGGAGTGTCATGGCATCATAATTCATAGTAACCTAAAACTCTTGGGCTAGAGCAGTTATCTTGCCTCAGCCTCCCGAGTAGCTGGGACTATAGGTGGGTACTAGGCCTAGCTAATTTTCTATTTGTTGTA